CTGATGCCTACCTGAAATGATCTCTGGCACACACCTCTCCCAGGAAATGCTGAGGCAGGACATTCTACGTGATGTGTTTAAGTCCTCAAATGATTTTTCAAGAGAGAAGAGAACAGTTTTGGTGTTCATCTGTGTTTTAAATAGTATCCAGGTTCTGTCCTTCTTTTAATTTTCTGTAATGCTGTTTTTATTGCAATTCAGATCTTCGATTTTCTTTATCCTAGTTTCTGCCAGGATAACTGACCTATAGAGTGTGGGCCATGACACATCTTCATACACAACAGTCAAAAACACTGACAGTTAAGACAGTGTTCATATGCGCTCATTTGGCAGTCTGATGGTGAATCCATCTTTGTTTATACAATGATTCAGAACACTCATTCTACAAGGACTTTATGATGGAAAGCAAGGTTGAGTTGCTAATGGAATAGCCCAACAAGAAAAGGCTAACTTACATGAATGAATAGGATAAACAATATCAGCTATTTGGAAGTTGATCATCAGGCAGACAAAAATGATTTTTCAGCTTTTGTTCTCATCTGTGTATTCGCTCATTCATTCAATCAGCACATATTTTTTTTGAGACCATTGGGCTAAGGAAAGATGAGCCAAAGGTCTTGTGATAGTCAGTATGTTTGCTAATACTTTTCAAAATTTTACAAGTGTTTTCAAGAAAATTTCCAATGGACTTCATAGGATTGTTTTCCTTGTTTTAAAGCTTGGTTAAAAAAAAAAAAGCCAAAAAATGAAATACCTTTTCCTTTGAAATACAGCACTTTTGGAGAGCAAGAGGCCATATTGAGGGGATGTAGATGGGTTACTAGGAATTGGATGGGTGTGCATGTGGTCATGGTGACTGTTAACCAGTCAGCTGAATATTCCAAGTGGTTGCTGTGATCTCTGGAGTTTTACATTTTAGGATTATATTCCCAGTCATATGTTATCTAATTGATACCAGTGGAAACCAACAAATTACGAAATGAGAATGACTTTACAAGTTGAGTTCAAAATCCGTTATCAAACCTGAAGTTGCATTCATTGATCAAAAATCCTATAAATGCCGCTCTTTTTTATATATAAATCTAGATCACTGTTAATTTTTTAAATAAATAAACAAGATGTGATTTTATTCAAAGTATAAATGTTTTTAAACTTGGAAAGCTAATATTTATGGTAAAATATGGTAATGATTACAAATATATGATTACCAATGGGGGCCAGCATTAGGAAGCAACAAGCTAAGCCACTACCTGTGGCGTTGCCGTCCCATAGAACAGTTCAAGTCCCAGCTGCTCTACCTCCAATCCAGCTCTTTGCTAATGTGCCTAGAAAAGCAGGAGAAGATGGGTCTCAGGGTTTGGGCCCCTGTGCTTACTTGGGAGATGTGGATGGACTTCCAGTTTCCTGGTTTCTGGGATCACCTGGAAACTGAGCCAATGAATGGAAGATACCTCCCTGGCTTTTCCTCTCTTCCTCTCTATAACTCTTTCTAATAAGTAACTAAGTCACTAAAATGATAATAATAACAATAATAATAATAATGTACCTATAGCCTCATTGTGCTCTTTAGAGAGAAGCACAATGCCTTCTAAATCAAAACACAAACTATATTACCATAAACTAGTTGATTTGTTTAAACACAAAATACAAAGACTTCAAAATAAACCTTTTTTTTCTGCATTCATTACTGAACCAATATTTCAGTTTTTCTCTGTATATGACTTTGCAATATCTCTAACCATATGCAGTACTATGCCATTATAATTTATTTGTCAAAAACTGTCTTTTTCCTTATGCAATTTTTAATGAATTTTAAAAACAATTTCTTTTATCATCTCAGGTAAGCTGAACTTTAAATAGGAGTTTTATAAAATTTGATAAAATTCTTAACTTCAGGTGATCTCTTTATCATGCATCACACAGAACTTACAAGTGATTTTCTAAATTTTTTAGTTTATCAAAAGGTGATTTGTATGAATTTTTTAAATTATTGAGTTGGGAGTTCCCCCTTATTCTACACTTGAGAAAACTAGAGCTCAGACATATTGAGCAGTTTTTCCAAGGACAAATGACTAAGAGATGACAGATTCCAAACTGAAACTCAAGAATGTTCTTCTGATTCTAAATTCATACAGTTAATGGCATCTGCTAGTGTGCACCTGTGCTTATATGGTGGTAATGAGAATTGGGGGGAAGGAAAGTCTAAAGGATGTTAAAAGACAAAATCAATAGACAACAGTGATTGTGTGTAGATCGGAGTTTGATGAATCACAGTTAAAGATGACATTAAAGCTTCTTTACAAAAGGGGTGTTGGTATGTAACAGTGACTGTGCGAATACATTTCATATTGGTGGAAAGATTAATTTTTGGTCTTATGGAGTCACATATTATATTAAAAACATACCAGTAGACCTGTTACATAGACACTTGATAATGCAGGCCAGAGGTGCTATTGAAAGTCAGTGCTGACAATGTAGATTTTAAATTGGAACAATGGAAGGACAGTGAGAAAATGAGAACCTGGAGAGGACAGACATTGGGTTCAAGCCTTGGAAAGGGGGTATCGCCTTCCTGAGGGGTTGAGGAGGAAAGGAAATAAAACTAAAAGGCGGGAGGCTGAAGAAGGACCATAACCACACAAGATCTTAGAAGCCAAAGGCTAATAAACATGGCTAACAAACACCTACAAGGAAACACATGTGCCTAATTTAATCTTCGTAACAGCTAGAGAGCCAGGTTCATGAGGGCGGAGGCTTAGTTAGCTAGGTTAAGCCTTACTTCCATCACTCAACTGGTAAATCCTGGAACATAAACTGGAATGCATGTCTCCCAGCCTCCAAAGCCTGTTTTCTAACAGGCAGTCTCCAGAGTGCAAAAGGCAAACTGTTGCTTGGGGAACAAAATGTTTAAATAAAAATAATTGGGTCACCGGCCAGCGCCGCGTTGGCCACATCTGGCCACAGGTTTTGCTGCACCTCAGCTGTGAGTGTGGGCGCCTTAGGGTCCACACTGCTAGAACACCTCGCCATGCACCTGGGGCTGGGACCCCTACCTGCTGAAGCTTATTTAATTAAACTTTAATTAAACTTTTTGGTTTGAACAAGAAGATGTATCAAAGCTGTCTGAAATCTTTTCAGTGTTTACTAGGCCTGAATTCAAATATTGGAATCAGAGACCTAGCAGTACAGTTTAACCTGTACAGAAGCGGTGACCATGACTTCAAAGATGCTGCAAAACTATGAATGCAGTCTTCTCCAGACACAAGTGTCTTTTCACCACGGTTACAGTACTTTCAGCATGCAAGATTATAAAGCTGAAAGTCAGTAAGGACAAAATGGTAGCCACACTCAATATTAAAAAAAAAAGTCATATTTGATAGACTATAAGCAGTTACAGAAAATTGAGCAGCAAATTTAGGGAGAGCCTGGAGATTTAGTTACTCCACCACAGAAAAAAACAGAAACAGTGGTTGAATTGCCAGCACAGAAAACAGAGAAGATGGTAGAGACCTGACACAATGTGAAGATCTGACACAAGATAATAAAGAGTGGAAAAGGAAATTTTTGGAAAATGCTGCCTTTTCTCAAAAGGCTATAAACAGAGTGACTTGTGTCCAGACTGGCCTGGGCTGTCTCCAAGAAGATCTAAGGACTTGGGAGTTTGTTTGACTTTTATAACAAAGACCCTAAGATGATTGCCTTAAAAGCAAAGAGGCTAACATGACAGCTGAGGTCTGACCCATAACGTGGTATTGATCAGATAAGGCTCGAGTCCTCGCTCGGCTTTGTCCCTCCTAGGTCTGTGCTCTACTAGGAAAGAAAATGGAGCCATTTTGTTTTTATTTTCTGGATTGGTTTTGTTTTGTTTTTAAAGCAGAAGGCAGTGTCCTGTCCTATCTGTGGTGTGAAATACATTCATTTAGGTCTTCAGTAGGCATTCCAATTTGACTAAATCAATATGTTGTACAGACTAAATTAGTGTTACTCTTATATACAAAAAGTTATTGTAGCCTATCCTCTAAAATGTTTGTTTTATGTATATTTACATGTATATTCTAAATCAGTATGGTAGTACATGCATATCATTAATAATTGCATAACTGGTAAAATAATATGTATGTGATCATCGAATATTCTCAAAAACTTCCTACCATGAATCTGCAGTAAATTATTTCAGAGAATGTTGCTTCATGCCACTATGTAAAACTGCCTCATTTTTTTGTCCCATGCCCAGTTATAAACTGCATTCACTTCATCTATTTGTGTTATCTTTCAAATATAATTTAGTCCAATACAAACTATTTCAGTGATTGCTTTCATTTCATTCCTTGGTATTTTCAGAAATTTCTGAAGCACTTTTGAACTTAGTGATAGTGAAGGGAACAGAGACCCTAGGTCAAAGAGACCTAGGTTCAAACATAAACTTTTACTTTACTAACTCTGTCATCTCAAACATTCACCTGGTTTTTCAGAGCCCTTGCTTACTTATCTGTGTGATGAAGATAATATTGACCTTGTAGTTTATTATAGAGCTTGACAATACCATGAGAAGGTAGTGTAGCCTGGCACAGAATAATTTTTTCAATGGCAGCAAATTGCAATCATACTAATAGTAGCATTTGTTATAAAGAACATCTGTGTTGCATTGATTGTCTCTTTTCCTCCAAGTGATTGTCTCTTTTCCAAAAAGAAGTTTGGTCCATATTGTTTTTAATTCAACCTTACAGAAGCATGGGCAAAAGTGGTTTTTTTCTTTTCCTTCTGAGAGACAAAGGACTATCATCTACAGACAAGTGAGTTGGGAAATGCCATTTACACCGGACAGCAATGGAACAGCTGTCCCGGCCTTGTGTAGAGTAGAAGCCCTGGAGATATGGTGGTGAAATCTAGAGGTTTAACTGTTTGGCAGCCTTAGCTGAGTAGGAGGAGGTGAATGTCAACACCCACACGGGTGCTGGTTGGTGTGGTGACTGTCTTTTGCTGTCTGATGCTCTCCACAGATCTGTACTCCCGACTTGGTGGTATTCCTGGCATGCGCTAGTCAGAAGCTCAAAGAAAGGCTAATGAGGCGTGCAGAACAACAGGGGCGTCCCGATGACAATCTCAAAGCCACTCAAAGGAGGCTCATGAACTTCAAGCAGAATGCTGCTCCACTGGTTAAATACTTCCAGGAAAAGGGGCTCATCATGACAGTAAGTGAGCTACGTTTATATGTGTCCAGTATTAGAAACAGTCCTTCCGGTTTCTGATTACTTGTGTTCTGCTTAGAAATGCTCCTTGCCTTAAAAAGTGTCCTTTTGGGTTACAGAATCAATGAAAATATGGGTGAAAATTTCCTGGTTTTTCTTTATTAATCTATAATGATAAAAAGAAACCACTTCCATTTTAGTTCTCAACAAAAGTTAATATATTAAAATTAGTGTGAAATAACAATGTAAGTAATTTTAAGCAATATTCATCTGGCTTCTCAACACTCACATCTTTGGAAATCTAACAAAAGCTACACATTTATAAATCCAGTGCTGGCATAATGTCACAGTACACTTAAATTGTAAGTTACACTTTATTTATTATAATGTACTACACAAATGAGATTCGGATGGCACACCAAAAAAGTGCCCTGAAGATGTAACTTGTCCTAAAGAAGTGAGCCTATTCCATTTGACAAAATACAGATAGTAAACATTTTCCTAAATGGGTAGTCTGTTTTGTGGTTACTGAGATTCATTGCACCGATGAAGGATGAAACCAAAACAAGAGATGATACAGTTTTCAGAATCTAGGACATCAAAGATGCGAATCTGACTAAACTGTTGACCCCCGCTACATCGGATTTGATCGTGAGAGCAAAGAGGAGACAAATAAACCACAGGCCAGCTAAAGAAAACACTTTTATGTATGAGAACACTAAAACTCCAGCAGCTACAACTCTTCTTTCAGCTTTTGAGCCCTATTCATCTAACGGGAGATTTGATTTCATAGGATTAAAAGTGAAGCATGCCCATCATTATAAACGGTGTATGACATAATGCACATAATGACATAACGGTGTATGGCATAATGAAGACATTTTTCAGAAAGTTTAGGTAAATCACATTTAGGCTTGCCCATCCACAGACCTCCTGTGACCTACCAGTTTCTGGCTTCATTCACTGCCCTAAGTATCTTTTGACCTGAAAGAGGCAATCATGACATTTGAATAGCACTCTTTGCAATTTGGGAATATTTATTACAATTTCCTCCTTACAGAATTATTATGTCAGAGAGTCATAAATCTAATCTGCAAACTGATCACAATGCCAGGTTCATTTTCTGCCCTTAAACAGACAATATAAAAGATTCAGGAAAAGCAGGGTAGCTGTTTCTGTGGACATTTCTGGTTGGGGTTGTGATATGTTTTTCTTACCAGTTATCCATGCTAACATCTGCATTATGTCATTAAAAAAAAAAAGGAATTTACCCTGCAGACCAAACCCCAGCTGCAAGGTACAGAGCTAGAATTTTAATTGACGTGGCAAGGCTTAAAGGTATTACCGAATGTCTCTGATTACTCCCTGCCTGTCACATTCGTCATCACAAGCAGAGCAGATTTCCCAAATGAATGCAGAGAGGGGATTGTTAATCGACTAATATTTTGCATGGAGGTGAAATGCTATTGCTTGTAATTGAGGGATTCAACAACAATGTGGATAACAGCCTTTAACCTCACCACTAAAACCAAATGGGCTTTAAGATAAACACTTTTAATTACTGGGAGAAAACATGGCTTAGAAAGTCACCTTTTAAAAAGCGTTGAACACAAACAGGCTGAGCTCTGGGGAATATAATTGGAAGAACTAGTCTGACAAAGGAGCCAGTGCTACATTCTAAAACACATGTTTTCTTTTAAAAACCTGGATCATAGTTCACTTTACGAATTAAAATATGTTTGGTAACTCTCCTGCTCTTTACGATGACTTAAATAATTAAAACGGTCACTGGTATCAATCATTTGGCATATTAAGATTTTTGTAAAAAGGTTGATGAATGTTCAGGATGTGATGTGTAGTGAAACTGTGTTTTCATTAGCTACTGCTGCTTCATTCTGTTGTTTTAATTTTTACTGTCTTGTAATGAAAAGCTTTATGTAGTTCCTATTTAGTGGATTTGGTACCTAAGTTTCAAGAACCAGTCTGCAAATGTCAATACATAAGAAAGACAGTGGAGGTATTCTGGGAGATATTTATTTGGATGGCAATGATGGATATGTGCACCTGAGTATATGGCCTTCTGAGCTGCTTTCCAGTTGCTCTTCCTAATTTTAAACTAAGTAGGCAATATCTTCTGGCATGAAATCTGATAGAAATAGAACCTCAATATCTAGGCCCTGATGTAACATGAAAACATGAGAAACATCCATTTGGACCTTAATAAAGAGCAGCTTGTAAGGAATCACAATAGGCCTTCACCTGCTCTTGCTTTGTGGAGAGCTAGCAGGACAACCCTTTCCTGAAAACACTGTTGCTACTCCAGCAGGACTACATCTGTGTTACCATAGCATGTAGGTTTTTCAGGTCTTAGTTTTAAAATATGCAGAACTAGATTGAAAGTCCGTATCATGGACTCAAAAAGTTAAAATACTATGATACCTTTTGTGCCATGATCTTTTACATAGTAACAAAGTGAAAGCCTTGAGAGGTGGAGCCATTTGCACTAAAAGTGGCACCCAAATGTAGCACGTATACATGCAGTCCTAGAGGACAAATTATGCTGGTTCCTAAACAGCATCAAAACAGGGAGAACAAGCAAAGTCTTTATTTATAGCTCATCTCCACCTTCTGTCTCTGTAACTAACAAACTCCCTGACTCACAACTTTCCATGGCCCAAATTCACTCAGTATCAGTCCTATTCACACTCTGTAGGCAGGCAGCAGACCAAGTGACTCAGCGAATGCATCTTATTTCTAAGCTGGGAATTGATTATACAGCGACGCTGCTGTCAGCACCTGGTGATAAGAACTCTCACACCAAGGAATGCAATATTCTCAACCACACAGATGTTTACAGACAAAATGAGAGCTTAAAGAAAATACACAATTCCTCCCTATCACCAAAAAAATATAAAATATTTTTCTATGAGTTCTACTATTATACCCTCCCATGAAGTAGAATGCGAAACAACATGAGCAACTTTTTAATTGCTTAAGTATGAGGCAGGGGTCTCACATGGTAATGATGAACAAATAAAGATATCAATCAAATGAACACAATTGGAAGACTCACATTAAGAAAATTCCAATTCCAAAAAAAAAAAAAATGCTAACACACTTGAGTTAACATCCAAGCTGCTTCTACAAGCTGGGTTTCACAACAACAACTTGTCTTCATAATTGGTTTTAAATGAAAGAAAACAGAGTAGTAAATGTGATCCTAACAGCTTGAACTTTAAATGCTACAGTTTTGAATTTTCAGCTGGTTACTCTTCCAGGAGAAATCAGTAATGAGAACAAATTTAACAACAGTGTCCATGAATGTTTCAGACATAAAGAATTTAGTTTTCACTGACTTTAGATGTTATGATGTTATAACGTCACTGTTGGGAAGGTAAAAAAAAAAAAATGGTATGTTAAAATTCTTGGGCTAAATTGGCCTTAGTTTAAGGCCCAACTAATTGGCACTGATCAATAAAATTGAAGAGAAATGATACTAAAGATTGAACTGACCACTAATCCAAAAAAAAAAAAAAAAAGACAAAGAGGAAAGAAAAAAGCAGATATTCAAGCCTTGATAAATAGGAAAATATAAGGAAATATTACAAAAGAGATAGTCCTTTAAAACAATAGCAAGCAATTCTTGAGTTTTAATATATTCTGAAGTATTTTTTTCAAATACTTCACATACAGTAGGTCATTAATTCTTACAGAATCTTCACGAAGTAGCTACTATTATCATATCCATTTTGTAAGTGAGAAAACTTGAAAGAGTAATTTTCCCAGGATCTCACAAGAGCTGTGGAGTTTCAACCCAGACCCAGGCCTCTGGCCCTAAAGGCTATACTTCTGATTGCCATGTCATCCCTTCCTTCATTAAAACAGGACATTTAATGTACTCTGGACCCATCAACCGCTTTCTCCATTTATCATTTGATAAGCATCATTATTCAGCTATAATCATTTTTTCTGAAAACAATGATGAGAAAATTAATTCAGTTGGTGAAGTGCATTGAGGAGTTTTTGAAAATGCAATTTTTACTAGGTAATAACATAAAATAATTTATAAAATTGATTAATCTGAGCATACATTTCAAGCAAGGTAATGTCATTTGTTGGGGGTGGGGTTTTTGTTTCCCTGTATTCCCAGCTTCTCCTTACCATGCTCCTTCCTTCTGCAGGCAAACCCTGTCCTCATGTACTTGGAGCTATTTCCCCATTAAGCTTATCTTTCAATTGTCATGCATTTGAATAACCTCATTGAGGGTCTCTCTGTTCATGATGCCCTTTTCATAAGACAACAGTGATCCTTCTTTCATTCAGCAATCATCTCTTGGCTCTCCAGACAGTAACCTATTCAATGTACCACGTCAGGCACCATAGAGAATAGGAAGATGTTATATAAATGTAAACCATTTGAACACAGCACAGGTGAAGCTAAATGTCCCATGCAGAGGTATCATAACTAGACCAGGAAGATTAAGGGCAAATGTGGATTAAGGGGAGACTCCACTTCAAACATTGGTCTTTGAGAGCAAAAACAGGTTGGTGAGCAGAAACAGAAACAAAGGGTGTTAGAATCATCCACAGGACAGGGCAGGTAGAGCAAGAAGTCTCAAGAGTTAGAAACCAGGGACCATTCTTCTGGGAACTGCCTGATGGGCATACTGAAGTGTCAGGATAAGAGTTATCCTGTGGTTATGGCCAGCTTTAAAGGCACTGGAAAAGCAAGCAATGACTGGAAACACCAGCAACTGATGGTTACGTGTACAACAGGAAATGGAGGAGGCAACCAGGAAGGACAGGCTAAAGGCCTGAGACTGGGTAACAGGTTTCCCTTCTCCAACTATAATGTGGTATCTACAATCACCTGGCACCAATTGCCAACATGGAAGTAACATAAAAATATTCTTAGGAAAAATGGCACTAATGAGTCACATGCACATGAGGTGTAATTTTCTTGATCATTTTGGGTTCCCATTTGAACAATGTTCGTGGTGAAG